AGAAAAAAACAATGAGGTAGGGTGTGACTTATAGAATACAACAAAATACAGCAGGAGACAGAAATACAAAATAATGCTAAAGAAGAACAACACAGGTCACACAAGACAGAACAACAAAGAAAATCAAATTTGGAGATGTATTTTCAATGCACGTTTAAAAGATGAGAGAGAAAAAGAGGCGCTAACTGAACGAGGAAGATTGTTCCAGTCTGAGCTAGTTGATAGTAAAAACCATGATTTGATGTTATCTTTCTTGGTAGAAGCGATAGCCCATCTACGCCTATTATCTCTCCTCGCTGAAATTTTTGTTGATAATTGTTCCAGCATATTAAAACGAGAAACCGCACTATTTTCAATCAGTATTTTGAGAAAATGCATAAGCCGGAAATACTTTCGTCTAACCTGTAGATCCGGTAATGCTGATTTTTTAAGTAGACCGTCACTGTCAGATCGGTAGTCATTCAAAATTACTCTAGTAGCTAATTTTTGAACAGATACGCAAACTGTGTGTCAGTATTTCACTATGATATGGAAAACGACGCAGTACTAGATCAATGCGAGCGTATCTTTCAGATGATTGAGTTTAAAGAAGCGTATCGTGGTCACTCTGTTGAATTCATCTTCGGCAATGCTCGTACTCATACAAAAGAAATCTCACTCTTTGACTGGCTTTAGTAAAAACATCGGTACCAAATGCACAGTTAACTGAATTGAGTGAGTGTTTATTAGGAATTTATTTAAAATCTTTTATTATTTCTCAAAAATTTAGTTATAACCAACCGAACAAATCTCTGAATATTTTAGGTATGAAGATTCAACTGGAAAACCAAAAGTTTTGGATTGTTTTTTTGTGAATGGACCAAAATTAAGGATTAAGTAAGGGGTTGGCGATGATTGCACGGGAACTGAACGTAAAAAATGCTGATCGCCTCACATTATCGGAGCTAAGAACCCATCTCGCGGATCGTCCGACCTTTCAAAATGTAGGATTTGTTTAGTTTATTTTTTAATTTCAGACAAATAATTTACTGAATTTGCTTTTCCTCACTTTCGGTCTCTAGATTAAAACCGTTAGCTCCAAAATATAATATTACTGTTCACTTTTGTACTAAGTTTCATTGTGAACTGAATATAACAGAAGGTTTATGGTGCTATCAAAAGCAGTATGTGAGAAAGAATTCGGATCAGACCTATTCGACAGTGTTAAAAAATAATGAAAATGAGTTTTCTTTAGAATTTAATCAAACAAAGGAAATGACTCTTAAGTATTGCTTCCTTGAAATTTAGTTTTTGATACAAACAGCGATCTTATTTCTTGATTTTAGAGTCTCGGGAATCTGGCAACAAACATACAGTTTGTTTGTTTGTTTGTTTGGTTTTAATCCGCTTCGCATATTCGCATTGCGGTGTATGTGAGTCATGTATTTTTCAAGTGTCTATGTTAGAATCTGTTTGTATGTATCAAGAAAGCACTTATTGTATTGTACAGTTTTTCATTTTTAATCACTTCATTGAAATGGCTAGTCAATACAGTGTGAAGACATATCCTGATCGGGATGTACTCCCAATCGGGATATATAGCCCGATTGGGATATCATTTTTTGCAACAAAATTTTTTTATACCCCGAACGGGATATAGTTTGAAATTATATCCTGATCAGGATATAATTCGATATCTCGATTGAGATATGAAGAAAATCTATATCCCAATCAGGATATCAAGAATTTTAATTTTAATTTGTAAGAAAATGATAAATTTTAATTATATGAGAGCTGAATATCTCCTTCTTTATTTATTTTAAAAACTTTTTGTTGGTTAATGCAATTTCTTACTTCTATATTAACATGTTTCTCATCAAATCTAATTAGTTTAAAAGGAGTGTTGCCGTGTCAGGCAATATGAGTATAAATGCCGCAACGCCTGGAATGATGATGTTCTCTTGGCATCTTCAGAAATGCTGGCTTCACGACTGATATACGTTTCAAAAGATACAGCAAGTTGTGATTCACTTATAAAGAACATAAGGCAGTTTATCTGCAAGAAGGGATAGTTAGAAAATTCCCCGTTAAACACAAAGCACGTATTTTATATATTGTCGACGCATGAGAAAAGAATTGTGTTTCAATATATGTGGGCATCGAAAAGGAAGAAATAAAAAAGCACGATCGACGCGGAAAGTGATTAGATCAAGATGTATATCCCATTATGAGCAATAAAAGATAAACAGCCTGTTTCCCGATCGGGATATAAATTCGACTAAAATTTGTTAAAAATTCGTATTCGAAAAAATAGTTGCTGGGCGCTTGATGCACTTTTGATCAAACACAACAAAATCCGATGTAGTTTTACGAGCTCTTTCTAATGGCGACGTCATTTTCCCCCCTAAATATCGTCATTTTCCCCTTAATCGTTTTTACGACCAAATTTCGTGTTTTATATCCCGATCGGGATACTACTTTTTTTCTATATCCTGATCAAGATATAGCTATATCCCAATCAGGATATAGGAGGTGTCCCCCTACTGACATACATACTTACGTTTAGTTCGACGATTTTGGAAAGCACTGGAATCACGTAAACAAGGAAAAACGTACGTAGAAGTCGTAAAAAGCTTTTTCAGTGCTAAGTGTGAAGATGCTGTTAAAAGTCATACACGAATTAGTAACACTAATTTAGTTAAAAAATGAGAGAAAGTTTTGTATATAGCTGTCCTTTTTTGATTTCAGAGTACGTGTTTTTTTGCAAATAGTAATTTCTTTTGAAGTTTAGATTTGTTTGTTTTAGGTGTTTCCGCAGTGCACTTTTCTTGCACATAATTATGATTTGTAATACTAAGCAGTAAAAATGAAAAAATCTACAGGAAGAAAGAACTGATTTGTTATTATATTAGCGAGAATAGTCTGAAGTACGTCTAACGTACATAAACTTCATTCAAATCCGACCAGAAACCTTCCAGAACTCTCTAATAGCGTGTCAAACACCCTTTAAAACTTGATCAAAAGTTTTCTTGAGTAATGCCATGCGATGCTCCATCCATCTTTACCTATAAAAATGAATGAGAACGAAAATCGAGTCGAAAACGCGGAAAGTTGGAAAAATTGACGAAACTACCGATTCGTCGGTTTTCACTTGGTTTTAGTAAAACGCGTTTTTCGAGAATATGTATCTCAACGTCGAAACAAATTTCACTCGAAGTTTGCTTAACGTGTATCTTATTAAAAGATGAACATTTTTCAAAAGTATCTTGGCACAGTTTTGCAAGGTGATCCTAATGGTCAAAACTTTGGACTTATCGGTAAAATGAACAAACACATCACAAGTAGGTTTTTTTCGAGCAAAAATATATATAGTAACTCGGTTTGGTTCATATCCATAATATTCAATAGACTCACGAAGGCCTAGTTCATCTAGATTTCGACAATAAATACGGATACTTTCTTTGACTGTTATTCACTTTTATCGCATAGACCACGATCGAATAATAGATTTGTGCCTATGTGCTTTTCTAGTGCATTTCTGTTTTGGATTATTTCTCATCAGTACCCTTCTTTTTCTATTTTTATTTCTCCCTCATGCGTTTCTTTTTTGTTCCTGCAATATCAACACTGCATGAAGACTGAATAGATAACATGATTTACCACGTCCGTGCATGCACTTTGCTATATGATATTTCATTCGGTCTTTTATTTCGCGTTCTTCTTTTACGAAAAGTTCTGTATTTGACAAGCTGTTAACCTGAAGAAAGACAACATGGGCGACGTATGTGAAGAGAGATGCTCACCAATGTCCCTGTTTGTTCTCTCATTTTTGTCATATCTATCGCGATTTGCTCACTTCGATATGACCGGCATGATAGTTCGATCAATCAAGAGAACGGAGAAAGATACAAGTTGCTGCACAAGACACATAAACCATAACAATTGGTAACAGGATGATCCGAAAAGTCTTTTTTCTTTACTTTTTCGTACACTCTAGAAAAAAGGTATTTTTAAAAAGCCTAAAAAGTATTTTTCATTTGAGAAAAACCAAAAAACAGGTATAACCACCCGTGAAAAACATTTAAAGGATATAACCATTTGAACCATATGATAAACTGTTTAAAAGTTTCTTATTCTTATCAAAAAACTAATTTTGGTTTTCTAAAATATGGTTAAAGTATGTTCTGTAAAACGGCTGAGGTTTCTTCATGCCACAAAAAAACCTTTCAGGTATTTTAAAATACCATATCAATTCAGGGTATTTTAAATCACGGCGTTTTCGTATTCTAAAAATCCCAAGTGGGTTTTCTGATAAAAGTAAAAAACGTTTGAACAGTTATGATATGGTTGAAATGGTTATACCATTTTCTGTATTTTAAAATACGATTTTTTTCTAGAGAGTTGTGTATTTTATTGTATTCCGAAAAAAACAGACAAAATGACATGCCTACCTCGTAACATTTTCTCTGGTCTATGAAATTAGTCAGAATCTTGACAGCGGGAGTTTTCCTCCTTCTACTTGCTTAATACAATTGACATCTAACGTACCACGTTCGTCTCTATCGAAAATTTTTCCAATGACTAAAGAATTAGAAAGAAACTCATATTATCCACCCAGCAAAGCAACATCATTTCAATCCAGATATAACTAAGATGTACCGAAGAAATGTAAGCTCCAATGCGGGAATTATTTCAGCTGCAGCTATAATAAAAGTGTCTTCAGGTGTAAAGGGTTAACAAGACTACTAAGGCGCCTAGTTGATTCTCTAATTAGTTGATGTAAATTATTTGGGTGCGCAAAAGAGAATAAAGCTTCTTCTTCTCTAATTGAGTTTTTGGCTTTACACCATTCCACACAATGTCCATTAAAATCTCCTATCAAACCTACTCCTTGGTATGTATGTTTCTCTGGCAAATCTTCTAATGTTGTTTGTAAATTATAAAGAAAGCTTTTTACTGGTTCCTCAGATTGGTAGCATATAGTTTCCAATATTAGGAAGCAGAACATTCGTAAATAGACACTAAGATTTCAAATCTGTTCTTCTAGCTGCTTCAACTGACGGTACACTATCTTTCACATAAAATACACATCCACCACCAACTGAATCACGATCATTACGAAAAAATTTATGTCCAGGTAAGGATACATCACTTACATGCTGAACATGCTCTTAACTTCGAAATTCATCAAACGACATTTTTATATTGGGTTTTTTCTTTCAGAAGATTCAGCATCAGCAATTCAAAATGCTATAACTACAACATCGCAACGCCATTCAACACCAACTATTGTCCGTAATACTCACCGCAAAACAATGGTTGAAAGGGGTTCTGACGAAAGTTTGACAAGTGTCGAAGCACTACATCAAGTACAAGCCAAAAATATTGCGAGAGAGAAGAGAAAAATAAAAGCCAAAGCTATCTCTAACCTGCTGAAAAAACCTCAAACACCAAAACCAAAATGTGCTAAGAATTTCTCTGACGAAGATGTTTTAGTTGCTCAGCCAACCGCATCCAATTCATTACCTTCTATTTCATCATTACAACCTACATTATTTCCAATTTATAATTCATGTGTCTTCAACTTTATTTCCCAGTAGTTCAACAACTGAATATCTATTATTTTCTGATGAAACTCAACATCTCGTTCATATTTCGAGATCAAATTACGATCAACACACTGTAAATTGTTGTTTTTGTTCAAATGTAATAGCACCATCTACGACTCACTCGAATTGTGTAAGCTGTAGCAATGTAATCTGTTTTTTTGCTATCAATTCGATCAAACGCCATCCATATTCGCCTGTAAATTTTGTCAAATAGCTGCTCGTGATTTACCACCTATCTATTGAAATACTGTTAACTGTGATCGGTGATATCGGATTTAGAACTGTGATTACTGGTATTTGATTTTTCTTTCTCATTATTGTTGTGTACATTTGATTCCATAGTTTTCTAGTTGACATAAAATTTCATTTTTCCACATTATTACTGTGCCGTGCTTTGTATTTACTATATAAACTTTAAGATCTCTTTATAAAAATCTGTTTAACGTAGCGTTTACTCACATAAAGTTGCATTTTATCCGATCAAGCGCTTAACCGAGCTCAGTTTGTCCGATTTTTCTTGCAAATGATTTAAAGTTTATTTGTTGATACTGGGGACGCATTAGGTGAGAAAGCTTTTCATTTTTATCCATAATCGGTTTGAAGAATTAGGTTTCTAAAAGTACCTGTTTCTGGCAATCATCTCAACGAGAATTACAGAGTCATCCCATAGCTGTATACGTGATTACCGAATCACCCCACATGGGGCGATTGTGTAATTTCATTTTTTGACTTGTGCCAGCTGAGCTAAAAGGATCTCAGTCAGTTTTCATCTGAAAAGTTGGAGATTGATTTTAGCGTATGTTTGAGGTTATGAGGGATCCGATGATATAAAAATCCACCTACCTACACTAATCGTAATGAAGATAACTACCCTTTACGAAAACTGGGATACACCGTTTATTTTAACGATGATTATCGAATCACCCCAACGGGAGCTATGTGTTTTACAGATTCATCCTAACTGAGATGAATTGGGATGAATCTGTAAAAGTCGTGACCGGCTCCGTAAATTCTATGAAAGACCGTTACTGCGAAGGTATTTTGGACCGAGCTCAGTTTGTCCGATTTTTCTTGCAAATGATTTAAAGTTTATTTGTTGACACTGGGGACGCATTAGGTGAGAAAGCTTTTCATTTTTATCCATAATTGGTTTGAAGAATTAGGCCCAATTGAGATGAATTGGGATGAATCTGTAAAAGTCGTGACCGGCTCCGTAAATTCTATGAAAGACCGTTACTGCGAAGGTATTTTTTGGAAGAGTTTTCACAGGTAGATAACTAAGTGTCTCAATTACATGACTGCACAAACCGCGCGCAAAGATCTTCAAAATGAAACTGAAGAGTTCGACAAATTTTACATAAACGCTTTATTTCGCTAGATTCATTTTTTAAGTTTTTTTTATTTGTAAATTAAGTTTCTGAAATTAAAAATATATACAAAAGTATATCAAATTCGAGTAGTAGGTTCTATAACCGCAACAAGAAATATATTACATCTATTTGCATGCGATATGTTGATTGCACGGATAAGACGTAACGACATAAGCGGCAATCTGTTCAAATCTATAACCATGTTGGCCAACAACACCTGGAGTAATTGATCCGATTTCACAGGGATTAACTGTATAGAAATGTCGTTGTTCCCGATTCTTAATATAACGGTACAACGGACATGTACCAGGCTGCTTAGTCGGGTAAACATAACCAGCAATACCTTCACTTCTGTAACCATTTGTAGCAACACCAGGAGTATGTGTACCAATTTCTTGCCAATTGATCGAGTAAAAATGACGAGGTGAACTGGTACTAACATATCTGTATAAGGGCACAATGTTAACTGCGGAAAGTGCTGATGGAAAGATTTCACATGCAACGGCTTCATATCTGTAACCAAATCTTCCAAGAGCACCTGGGGTTGTTGTCCCAATTTCATCTGCGTTGGTGGTATAAAAATGATCATTACTATTTGAATATCGATAGAATGGCACAGTACCACCTAAACTTCAGAAATAAAAGTACTACGATATAGCGCTTTACTGCAAACTCTTACCTTCTAACGTTGGAACAATGAGAACGATGAGTAGCAAAAGTAGTTTTGTTAGATTGCATCGAAGCATTGCTTTATAATGTTCCTTGGTTTCCAACAGCGTGTGAACGACTTGATAGTGCTACAATTCAAGAGAACTGGAATTTTTTTTGAAATGGTTGTTCTCTTAAATCTATATCTCCTTTTTATATGTGCTGGAATTTGATAACGCTTATGTACATAATGAATCAAACAAAAAAAGAAGTACTGACTCAGTATAAGTTATATATGTCAGATGTCAGATAAGACGAACTAAAATAAATAATGTTTCACAACACAGTTAGATGATAATGATGATATCGTTTATTTTTCCAAGAAGACACAAAGGAAGTAAAGACGTACTGTACGAAGCAGTGGTGTGATCCAAAGAACTGAGCGCTTATTAGTTTTACTTAGGTATTTAAGTATCCTTAACTCACCGAGATATCCATATAGTGCTGTTCATCATCACGTTTCACAATAATCAGATTTATAATTTAGTTATTGACCAATAGTTATCAAAAATGGAAGAAAGTTTTACGTAACAGTCTATGCCCATCCACAACGAAAGCAGATGGCAATCATGAGGTCAATTCATCTTTTCAAATATCCATACTTAACCTCATTCGTACTAAGAACTTTTACTTGCAGTTTTTCATTCTTTGTGGAGTCTACTTAACAGAAGTTCAAGATGGACAGAAAATGATCCAGTATTGCGAAGAATTTGAGAAAGATGAAAGCACATGCTAATAGTAATTTTGATTGACACAAATTTCCCTTGCAGTACTTTCTTAATGTTAGTCTCGCGGACTTGCAACTTTGCAGTTTTCAGCCAAAAACTTTTTCTGTTTTATCTTAAAAAGCTTTCCCGTTAGTGATCATAAAGTAAAGATTCACTTACGTTTCCAAGAATAATTTGATTGTTCAGCGTCAATTTCAAACCGATTCTCCCAATCGATCTTTTTAGTTACAATCCACACTGCTCATTCATCATTCTGTTTAACACGGTTTCAATTGATCGGTTTCGATGCTTACTTTTTCAATATCTTGTTCAGAGTGATCACCTTCAGCTTTTCGGGTACGAAGTTCTTGTGTTATACCTTCATATTTCGTTTTTGGTTCTTATTTTCAACAATTAATTAAAACCCAAAGATGTCTACGTGCAATGCCAGTTGCTTTTTTGACCAGTTGACTTTTTTTGTCCGGTCTAATGAATTACATTCAAGAGTTGAGTACACCTCACGTCAGCATGCTTCATCGATGCATAAGGGTTTTGATATAATATATCACAGAGGCGATCAAACTTCTTATCCAATTCTTGGGGATGTGCGTCATATTGTTCAGGACAATATCGTTTGTCACAACCGTCACAGTTCGTTATACTACTTGGTAGTTTATCAGCGGAAATAGTCCTGCCATTCCATTGCTTTCCCCACACATGATGAATATGCGAGCTATTTTTTATCGTCGCCTCTATTTCTCAAAACAGAAGTGAAAAAAAGTTTTTTCACACCCTTTTGTCACATCCTTTTTCTCACATCTTCATTTTCGCAAATCAATTTTAAGCCTCAGAAGCAATGCTTTTTGGTACTGAAGATAAAAACATCAGTTCAGGTGCAATCAACATTGATCTGCATAACGTCATTGAGAAGCACAATGAACGCGTCCATTTCAACTGGCGCGATATTCTGATTATGATCATCGCGTTAATTATCGCTGCTGTCATTGGATACTTCATAGTCTAATTTATTAAAAGACATGTAAGAAAATATCGGGCAATGGCAATCGTGACTGGAGTTGATAAAAGACGGGCAACACCCATGTGGAAATTTTGATACCCTCCACGATGTGAACACGGGTTGAAACATTTTCCCACGTGTGTACACGGCAAAATAGTCTTGTTTTTCAGAATTCTACGTGCGAAGACGTGTGGAAGACAATTTTATGTACGCGAACAGGCGTGGATAGGAAAAGATTCGATGTGTTCACGCGTGCAATATTTTGTTGACTCGTGAACGACCGTGGAAAATATTTTTTTGTACGCGAGCAGGCGTGGATAGAAAAAGATTCGATGTGTTCACACGTGAAATATGTCCTTGTCTCGTGAAAGAGCGTGGAAGATAATTTTTGTACGCGAACAAGCGTGGATAGGAAAAGATTCGATGTGTTCACGC